TAGACGGGCTGGTTCGAAACAACCAACATAGCTCGTAGTCCAAATTGAAGTCAATGATAAAACATTATTAATCGAATAGAATAAGAGCATCTGTTTGTCTGTGACTACTGATTCTCCGCTAAAGTATTCTTCTTGAAGTCTTTGAACAAAACATTCCCGAGGTAAGGAAAGCATCTATCTCGGGCCCTCCTTGACTTCACTGAACCTAAAGAATAATCTAGAATACATCTATAACGGTATATAGTCCTCATTTCTGCTTTGCAAATCTCAGAGTTATCTTTCTACAATCAAGATTTCATTAGTTTATAAGAGATAGAGAGGGAGAGAGAAAATGGAGGATCAGTTGAAAGATGTGCCCGCGCACGATCTTCAATCCCTTTTGTGTTCTCCAGAAAGAGATTTTCTTATTCTCAAAAATGGTGACCAGGTACTCTTACACATTTTTTAGGGTTTTTATGCTAAATATATGTATCTATGTGGGATATTGGCAGAAGATAAAATTATTATATTAAGTATATGGGTGGATGAATTTATTGGTGGTCAGGCCAAATTAAGGGCTTTCGTTTTGGTGTTCTTTATTATTTTGATAACGTTCGGATAAATTAAAGTATGCTGTGATTAGATTATTTGGGCATATTTTGAAATCTTGAAACTGTGGCTTGATTGTGAGCAGTTCTCTGATATACTTGGAAAAATCTGTTATTAGGAATATATATTAATTAAATTAAGTACTGATGTTGTTTCAGTAGAAGGCAAAATTTTAATGTTCTTTTGTTTTACAGGTTAAGGTTGAGAGTTTGAAGGGAAAAAAAGTTGGGTTATATTTCTCGGCATCATGGTGCGGCCCGTGCCAATCATTTACCCCGAATTTGGTGGAGGTGTAGAATGAGCTGCTTTCCAATGGAAAATTTGAAGTCGTGTTTGTCTCTGCCGATCAAGATAATGAGTCGTTCAATCAGTATTTCTCTAAAATGCCTTGGCTTGCGATTCCATTTTCTGATTCTGAGACACGCGATGGACTCGATAAATTGTTTGATGTGAGTGGAATACCCCATCTTGTTATCCTGGATGACAATGGGAAGAAATTGACCATAGAGGGTGTTGGAATCATCCGAGAACATGGGGTCGAAGGATATCCTTTTACCCCAGAACGAATTCAAGAACTCAAAGAGCAAGAAGAAGAAGCTAAGAGGAATCAGACCTTAAAATCTTTACTGGTGTCCCGGTCACGGGATTATGTGATTAGACCTGATGGGAAAAAGGTGCACTCTTTAGAATTTATGTGCTAATATAGAACTCATATATACTTGATTCATATAGTAATACACAATTAATGTAGATTTTTCACGATTATGATGTTACTCATCCGTTATGTTTACTAGGTACCGGTTATTGAACTTGAAGGTAAGACTATACTCCTGTATTTCTCCTTGGTTACATACAAAGATTGCCTTGCTTTCACCCCGAAGCTTGTTGAAATATATAAAGAGTTGAGAAAAGAGGGAGAGAATTTTGAGATTGTGATGATACCCCTTGATGATGAGGAACCGTCATTTAAGCAAGAGTTTGAAGGCATGCCGTGGCTTTCATTGCCTGTCTTGGACAAAACTTGTGAAAAGTTAGTACGTTACTTTGAGCTCTCTGCCCTGCCAACCGTTGTTGTCATTGGGCCAGATGGGAAGACTCTTCATCCGAACGTTGCTGAAATCATTGAAGAACATGGTCGAAAGGTCTATCCTTTTACGCCTGAGAAATTTGCTGAGATTGAAGAATTGGAGAAGATAAAGCGAGAATCGCAAACTCTTGAATCAATTTTGGTATCAGCAAATTGCGACTTTGTAATCGGGAAAGATGGAGTTAAGGTAAACAAGCTATTCTTGGCTACCTTCATACTCATTTCACTTTAATACCATCTGTCTAGTAATATGTTCCTAAGCCGACCTTTAAGTTTCTGATAACCTTCTCCACCCATACTTCCTTCTAGTGCGAATGATTTTGGTAACTAATATGACGATTCCTTTTATTTCAGGTTCGGGTTTCTGATCTTGTTGGAAAAAATATACTTCTCTACTTCTCTGCGCATTGGTGTCCTCCGTGCCGTGCTTTTCTACCTAAGCTCATAGAAGCATACCACAAGATCAAAGCAAAGGATGAAAAATTTGAAGTGATTTTCATCTCCAGTGACAGAGACCAAACATCCTTTAATGAATTCTTTTCAACAATGCCATGGCTGGCACTTCCATTTGGCGATAAAAGGAAGGAACCTTTAAGTCGTCTATTCAAGATTCGAGGCATCCCGATGTTAGTAGCACTAGGGCCAACTGGCAAGACCATCACGACCGAAGCCAGACGTCTTATTGCTTATCATGGTTCAAATGCTTACCCGTTCACTGAGGAACGCATCAAGGAGATTGAGGAACAATACGAAAAGATGGCCGAGAAATGGCCGAAGAAAGTGAAGCATTCACTTCACGAGGAGCATGAACTTGCTCTCACCAAGCGCGTAGGTTATAATTGTGATGGTTGCAATGAATTTGGACAAGGGTGGTCATTCTGGTGCAACGAATGCGACTTTGATCTCCACCCCAAGTGTGCTTTAGGTGGCGAAGATGAAGACAAGGACAAGGACAAGTTCGGGGCCGAGGAATTAAAAGGCAACAATGTCAAGGTAGAACATGAAGAGAAGAATCCCAAGGAAGGTTGGACTTGTGATGATGATGTGTGCTACAAGGCATAAATAGTTATTGTGCTAAGAAAGAGAGTGATGTTATGAATAATTAAGCTTGAGCTTTGAGTAAATTATGGTTTGTAGTCATTTTTAATCTATGATGTACACTGTTTGAGTTACTTGTGTAGAATCAAATATAGCAAGAAATTTGCAATTTGAACTCAAAAATAGATTAAAAGGTTGGTTAGATGTTTAAACACATAGGCTAGATGACTAGAAGTTCGTTAATTTTACTTGATTTCGATTTTTTCATAATTAAAATTGATTTTGAATCTGTATCATGACTCTGAAGTATGAGACCTTCAATTTGAAATGGCCATCTTGAACTGTAAATAAAGAAATATAGTGATGAAACCATGTTGAACAACATAATTTCGAACAAAATGAGCAATGTATGTTTCTTTAAATTTCTAAGCAATTTGTTCCGTAGTCGTCAAAATGTGTCTCGGGGTTCATAGAAAAACGATTACGCATGAAAAAAAGTTCAAAAAGACCTACAGAAAAGTGAACTTTAACCTGTCCAAAATCAAAATATACCGACTTACTTTAGAACCCGATCATATTAACTAAACACGATGTGATCTACACACCTAACACAACCCTAGTAACAGCCGAAGTTAGTGAAAAGAAATTCTTTAACCGTGAAATATGTTACACGAAACAACATTTCAAAATCAAGAAAATTGTGGCATGAAATTGATTTGGACAAAATTGTGGACCCCCTTGTCCAAAAATGTCATATATAACCATGATTTGGCCAAGAAGATGATAAGCAAGTAAAATCAGTTCATCCATGGAAGCTCTCCTCTCCTCCACAACTTTCCCTGTGAAGAGAGCCCTCTATTCTCCACCATCGGATAAGCCACTCCAATTCTTTCCTACAAAAATAAACCTTAACAGACCCCAAAAATCAAGCCATTCGGTGCAAAAAAATGCTTCTTTCTCCCTCAGCTTACCTCTCAGAATCTCTGCAAGTGCACAAACTGCTCCTTCTACTGAAGCTTCAACAAGTTCTTCAGTACCATCAGAAATGAAGGCCTGGAGTTATAGTGAGTATGGTGCGGTGGATGTGTTGAAATTTGAGTCAAACGTTGCGGTCCCTGAAGTGAAAGAGGACCAGGTTTTGATTAAAGTTGTTGCAGCTGCTCTTAATCCTGTTGATTTTAAGAGAAGATTGGGGAAATTCCAGGCCACCGATTCACCTCTACCAGTAATTTTCTTTCACCCTCTTTTTGTTTTTTTTTTCCCTGAAATTTATTCAGTGATTTAGAGTCTTAATACTTTTAGTTGATGCCATTAGAGTATTTTTTTTTTTTTTCACGTAGACGACATTCAAAATTGTTAGCAAATTGAACTCGTGATTATATTGCACAATATCAAGTAGGAATCATAGCACAAAAAGAACTCGAGAAATTGACGGAGGAAAGAAGAATTTACTATAATATGGAGAAATAATATAACAATATTGTGTATCTAATGCTATTTGAAGTCTATACAAAGCCATAATTTCATGGAGTATATATAGGATCCAAAAGAATATTTTTAGATGAAAAGAGGATAAAAAATGAGAAAAAAATGGATGCAATATTTTCTCGGATAACGCCGGTGTTCGAGCGGTAGGCAAACAGTAAGGTGGCAATAGCGGCAGAGCTCAAGCGCTGCTACGTGTATGGTGCTCAAGCACCTCGTTTTGGATCCAACTTAATCCAAATACCTTGTACGGTGCCTAAGCACCCGGATTGGGCTGTCTCGAAGCCTTCCAAACCATATCTTGACCTCATTAACATCTCTTTCAACCAATCCATGAACATCCAACGGAATTTGGATCACGTATTAACAAATCTCCACCTTAACACAAACTTCCAATACAATGAAAAAAAAAACCTTAAAAAATTCTTCACATGGAGATAAATTCTACTATAAGGAATAAACAAATGACTTCAACAAAAAATATCATCCTCTTTCACAAAGTTCAATTAGGACAAACTCCATCAATTGAATTCAAGTTCTACTTAGTAGGATTACCTCGGGTACCAAAATTGTTCGAATTATCACCTCGAGCAATAAAATCACAAATAACTTAACAATAATTATCAAATAGGGCAGTAACACTATAACAAGATCAACACAAAAAACTACTTCTGTCAAAAGTTTTTTGTTATACTCAATACCTTCAATCACATTTAAAGTATAAGCCACTATATCAACTTTCATGCGTCTTTGTGGAGGCTTAATATCTCTTTTGGATATATCTCTAGCAATTGAATATTGAGGCACCGCTGGTTATGGTGGCAAAGCGACATTATCCTTAACTTCGAAGCTCAATTGAGATGTGTTATTCAATGTAGACCCCGAACCAAACTCGAATAGTATTGTACCAAGCTGAATATCGACCAACGTTCCTAATTTCTGCTGATTGGTCTCCAATGATTCTGTAAAGCGCTACAAGACATACAACTGGGACATTTTCTACCCCTTTAACACAACACGAGCACATTTATTAACCTTCTTGACTCCACCTTCACTAGTGTACTTATACCATTTTGAATCAAGGAGATAAGATTTTTCTTCAAATCTAGAACATCCTTCACTTCATCAGGCGGCCTAACTATCTCATCAAACATTTTAATTCTGACCCTTATAATACAAGTTATCTTATAAGGTTCATTATTACATATTCCCACAACACATTTTGAAACTGTTTCATATGTTAAAAATAAATCCCGATTGGGATACATACGAGCAAAGAAGACCTAGTATGATTAATTGACTTCCTATTTGAAAGCAAATTAGCTCCTTACCCATCATTGAAACACAAGCTAGAGACTTATCTACCTATATTCCGTGCTTCGATCCCAGAAGTTGGGTATTCCTTTTCAAGAGGACAATAAACCTACCAATCTTGCTAATCAGGAGATCAATCTTTCAAGTGCAAGTTGTATCAAGAAATCAATCATCGTCGGGTTTGAAGTCGCCGTCAGAAATAACCAAAAGATCTCCCATCACTTTAGCAATTTTTTGCAATATCGACTTTACCTGAAGTTGCTGGTTACTTTCCCTTCTGATTTGTAGTTAATTTTTCTTTATTCTGCAACTTATAGTAATCTTTTTATGCCCTTCCTTTTGCAGTAGTTACAAATTTTATTACTAGAATTAAACTTCGAATTGTCTCTCTCATAACCACCATGAACATCAGGCATTCTCCTTGAGCCTCAGATCCAACGAGATGATTCATCTTCTCATTTGAAAATAGAGCATCATATATTTCTTCAACGATGAGAGTATCACAACTATATAATATCGTGCATCTAAAAGACATATATGAAGTGGGTAACGTATACAACAAAATCAACCCCAAATCTTCTTTATCATATTTAACCTCCAAGTTTTCTAAATCGGCTAAATTTCTTTGAAAATAGCTAGTTGATCTACAATTGATGTTCCTTCTATCATAAGATGAGAATATAAATGTTGTTTCAAATGCAATTTGCTGGTTAGATTATTCGTCATGCATAATTGCTCAAACATCAACCATTATGCAGCTTCAGTTTTCTCCTTTAAAACGTTCTGAAGAATATGATTAGAAAGATGAAGATGAATCTGTGATAGGGCTTTTCGATCCTTACGTTGTTTCTCCTCCATCGACCAATTTGAGGGCATCTTGTCAAATCCCAACAAAAATCATCTAAATCCATCTAAACGAGTAATGTTCGCATCTTCATTTGCCACAACAAGAATATAGTGCTGTGATCCAAAAGTGGAATATCATATTTCATGATTGACATTACAAGAACAAAACCTCGAACAAATTAAACATTATGCTCTGATACAACTTGTTAGCAAATTAAAGACGAAATTGTATGTTACAATATAAAGTAGCAATCACAACACAAAAAGAACACAAAAATTGGCAAAAAAAATGAGAATTCACTATAATAGAGAAATAGTACAACAATGTGTATCTAATGCTATTTGAAGTCTATACAAAGCCATAATTTCATGGAGTATACATAGGACCCAAAAGAATATGTTTTAGGTGGAAAGAGGATAAAAAGTGATTTAGAAAAATGGAAACACTATTTTTCCGGACAACACCGACGCGAGCAGTGTAATACACCCGAGTGGTAGGCGAGTGACTGCGTCAATGCTCAGGCTCTGCGTGTATAGCGTTCAGGAGCCTCGTTTCGAGTCCAACTTGATTCTAAAGTCCTTGTTGGCAATCTTGACTTCTTTAACACCTCTTTCAACTAATTCACGAAAAACCAATGGAATTTGAGTCACATATTAACCAAAATAATAATTCTATTTGCTTATTTAATTTGACTTATTAATCTAATTCTCCATTATTGCAAAAAAAAAAAATGTTACAAATTACATGCTTGATTGATCAAGTATGGTGAGACATAATGTGCAACGTGATAAAAAACTTTCGTTTACAATTAGGAGGTAAAGTGATGCTTTATCATGATGAGATTTTATTGTTCTTATTTGTTCTTGTCTAGATCTCAAAAATAAGAATAATGATGTGTTTTAAAGAACATTGAATGGGACCTCGTAATGACTTGTTCGTGACATAAGACTAGGACTCTACATGATCATTGGTTCGAGTGACCTAAATCTCGAGTGGCTAAAATTCTCTAAGGTGCTATGGTCTATTTAGAAGATTGATCTTGATACTTTGCAAATCCAATGAAATGATTTTGGATCATATACTTGCAAAATGGAATCCATAATTGAGACGATCATTCAGAGGATGGATAATCGATCTTGAGCTCAGTAGTTTGATGATTTGATCATTGGAATCTATGTAGTGATGTGTTATAGCGATTTTACCTTATGAAAATGGAACTCAAAGGACTACACATATTAGAGTGGCAAATCACTCGTTTATTCAACTGTAATTTATTGACGATCAAACGTTGGTTGACTAGTGGTAAGATGGTCGAAGGATTAGTGTCAAATTGTGTTTTTTCGTAATAGTCGCTTGACACGAGTACGATTTCGGTCCTTTATTGGATTGAGACGGGATTTATAGATAAGTCTCAATTGATCAAAAGTTGACAAAATTGGAGACATTATCTATTGGATCTTATGTCTTGTTAGTACGATTTGATCCCCTCTTGGCTCTAATATAGATGATTGACTTAATTGATCTACTTGAATAAGTCAAAGAAAAAGTGGTGCAAATAATAAGATTGCACCGAGGGAATTTAGGATTTGTTTGACCCAATTTTTAGGAAATAGATTTTGAAATAGTGATTTTTTTGGAGAGAGTGGTCAAAAATTAGGGAAACGATTTGGTAATTTGTGATTGGAAATGAATTTAAGGAAAATAAGGGTCCGTTTGGTTTGTGTTCTAGTTTTTAGTTCATTTTCAGTTTTCTATTTTGAGAGTATGTTTTAAGATTGCTAAAAATGTTTTCGGTGTCATTTTAAAAATTTATTTCTCAATATAGAAAATTAGAAAATGTGTTTGATTTGAAATTTTGAAAAATTATTTTATGATATTTTATTCCATAAAATTTGATTATTCAATAAAAATAGAACAATTTTATGTTAATATATTATCAAATAAAATATATACATTTTAAATTTAATGAATCTTACAATATTATTTCTCCCTACAAATATAAAATAAAAATAAAAGATAATTTAAGTTCGAAAGTATAAGAAATAAAAATAAAAATTAATGATGTGGATTGAAAATATTTTTATTTGGGTTAATTTCACAAACGGTCACTGAAGTTACGTCAAAATCACAAAACGGTCACTGAAATTTAAAACTTGCACTAACGGTCACTGAAGTTACGCTCGGTTTCAGTAATGGTCAATAAAGGACTTTTTTATTTTAATTGGAACCTAATAGACCAAAATAGTGGAATCTTGAACCTTGAGGACCTAAATCGAAAATTTACAATATAATCCCCCAAAAATGAAAAACCAGGAGAAGGGAAGGGAAGGGAAGGGAAGGGAAATTAGGGTGAAAATCATGCTAATATCATCTATTTAATTCCTCCCATTTCTTTCTTTGTGTAATTCCTAATCTGCTTCTTGATAACACACACATTTCTGGGATTTCTGGGAATTGCAGATGGCGGATGTAACAAAATATGCACCCATCAATGGCAGAAGCTTGATATCAGACTTCAAAAGCCATTTCTTTTTTCAAAAAACCAAAAAAACTGTTGCATATGGCTTTGTGTTTGTTTTTATTGGCTTTACCATTTTTCTTGCTTTTGCTCCCTCTTCAAACTCTTTTCCCCCCTGGTTCACCAACATTTTCACTTCCACTGCCACTTCAAAATCGTCAATTTTATGTGATGATTCTTATAGATCTCACTTTTCTCTTATTTTTTGCCAGATTCTTGAACCCAGGTTTACAATCCTGAAAACAGATCTAGAAACACAAATTTGCAACCTCCCAATTTGAATGTAGAACCCAAAGTTGTCAAAAACGAGACCCAAAATCAAGAAATAAATGACAGTTGAAATTTTGAAGAAAAATAATGGTACAGTTTTGCCCAAGGAGCCTCCTGGAGAACAGATTGTCAATAGTAATTCACCATCCAAGTCTTCTTCTGAATTGAATAGAGGGTCTTCAATTTCCAAGAATCAGACTCAAAATAAACAATTAAATGGCAAAATTGAAGAGGTGAAGACGAATCAGAGTTCAATTCGATCGCAAAATCTCCTGTGGCTGCAAATCAGACGGCGAATTCATTTAAAAATTCTGGTTCTGGAGCAAAAAATCGGCTCCCATTCTCCAAGAAATGGTTTTTGGGATTTTTATTGTAAATTTGCGATTTAGGCCATCAAGGTTCAAGATTCAACTATTTTGATCAATTAAGTTCCAATTAAAATGAAAAGGTCATTCAGTGACCATTAGTAAAACTGAACGTAACTTTAGTGACCGTTAATGTAAGTTTTAAATTTCAGTGACTGTTTTGTGATTTTAACGTAATTTCAGTGATCATTTGTGAAATTAACCCATTTTTATTTGTGTCGTTTAAATATTTTTTTAGAATTTTTATGTAAATAATATTTAAACACTTGAACTATTTTTATTTTATATTTTTTAATTTTTCTAGAAATTTTTAGAATTTTATTTTAAATTTTATTTTATATATATTTTAGGATTTCATTTTTTAAAATTTTTATTTTTTAGAATTTTAGATTTTTTTAGAACTTTAGATTAGATTTTAGTTTTTCATAATTTTTAATTTTAAAATTTATCATTTTTTTTATTTTTTTTAAAATAAAATTTTATTTTTTAGAATTTATATTTTAATTTTTTTTAAAAAAAATTGATTCTAAGATTTTATTTTATCACTTGTTTTTCGTATTTTGAGTGTTTTTAGAATTTTCACTGAAAACACTCAAAATATCAAAAATAATGTGCTTTGAGTTTTATATTATAATTTTTACCTTGTTTTTGAAAATTTATTTTCAAAAATGTTAGATCAAATATGTTATCAGTGTTTTTACTAAAAAATGAAAAGGAGGCTAGGTTTTCTCTAAGATAGCGTTTTTCCAAACTAGTAAGAGTGCTCTCCATTTATAAGGAACGTCTTATGCATAATACATTGCATCTCAAAATTTAGGGCGTGTTCGATAGAGATTAAAATTGGATTAAAATTGAAAAAGTAGCCATTATTGTTGACTTTTATTAAACGAGTGAGATCCAATAACGGTCATATTTTCAATTAAAATTGGATTTTAATCCTGAGCAAACATGCTCTTAGTAAAAAAATTATACACTCCAACGGTGATATCCATTTTAGGTCTTTATTTTGCTTTTCTCAAGAAATGTTTATTAGTTTCTCATCATCTTTTAGTTAATATATTTTTTTATAAATAATTTAAGAAATAGAGTATTGAAATATGTAGTTTATTTAATGCAATAATTATATTATTTTTAAGCATTGTTTCTCCCTTTCTCTAAAGTAGAAAGTATAATATTTAGAATCTCTTATAACTTATTTTGAAGTGTTATTTCTCTAAGATAGAATGTAAAGTATTTAGAGAATATCGAGATACCCTAAGAAATTTAAGAGGCCTTTTTCCAAGGGAAGCCACTTCCACCTTTTTGTGAGGACATTTAAAGGCATATGAGGGAGAAGGCTAAAAGGGAGGAAGAAGGATCGCTAGCTCGGTGAGAGGAGTGGACCACTAAAGCTCGCTATGAGGGCATTTTTATATGGGTATTTAAGAATGAAATCTCATTACCTTTAGGGAGTTCAAGGATATATCTCAAAGAAAATTGATTATTTTGGGATTTTAAGCCTACACCCAACAAGTACAACCACCTCGTTTAAAAACTTAAGTCCATATTTATTTATTCGAATTTAATCCTCAACAAGGTTCACTATAAATCTGCTGCTTTTGTTTTCTTAATATTTTATAGTGTACACTGTATTACAATCTGAAACAGGGTTAAATTTGAAGCGATTGGCTTTCTTTCAAGTGCAATTTCTGTTTGGCTAACTGGTAAATTGATTATGTGGCTGTGATACTATATTTAGGTGTTAACAAATATTGGCCTTGAAATTCTTAGTAGTAGACAATATTTAAGAACGAAAGTTGGTTAAAACTTTTCCATTATACTCATAGGTCCTGTCATCAGCTAATTTGATAGATAATTGCGAGCATTTTTCGAGCAAGTGCCATTTTGTTGATTTTGTATTTCTTTGTTCATAGACGGTGCCAGGCTATGATGTTGCTGGTATCGTAGTTAAAGTTGGGAGTCAAGTAAAGGGATTAAAAGAAGGAGACGAAGTATATGGAGACATACACGAGAAAGCATTGGATGGACCTAAACAGTTTGGCTCATTAGCTGAGTACACAGCGGTCGAGGAGAAATTATTAGCTTTGAAGCCCAAGAATCTTGATTTTGCACAGGCTGCTGGTCTCCCTCTCGCTATTGAGACGGCCTATGAAGGTCTTGAAAGGGCCGGATTTTCTTCCGGAAAATCCATCCTTGTGTTGGGAGGTGCTGGTGGTGTTGGCTCACTGGTTATACAGGCAAGCTTACAATATTCTCTTTATTGTCCCTATTGACTGACTCTGCCCATTTGACTATTAAAATGTCAAGTTTTCTTGTTTAACACTTAGTTAACATAATTTACAAAGGAAAAGAAAAATGACACGAACCGATTTAACGTTCTATTTTGGCAATACAGCTTGCAAAACACGTGTTTGGTGCTTCTAAGATAGCTGCTACCGCCAGCACTCCAAAGCTGGACTTCCTCAGAAGCTTGGGTGCAGATTTGGCCATCGACTACACCAAGGAGAACTTTGAAGATCTACCAGAGAGATTTGACGTAGTTTACGATTCAGTAGGTAAGAAAATTATATGAATGACTGCAGTGTAAATTCTTTTAGCCGGTATAGCATTAGTTTAGTGCTATGTTTTATGAGTAATATAGCAAATGGAAGTGGTCTAGAAACAACTAGAAGATTGAGAAAATTATCATAATTTTGTTGTAAACAATAGGAAGACTAACTTTGTCCTAAAAATGGTTGATAGTAAGAAGTTGGCCCTAGCTTAAGTTGTTGTTGGCTCATATAGAGTGGAACTCATGTATACTGGAGTGGAGTGGACTGAAGTGAGGAGAGCGTAGTGCACCGAAGGGAACGGAGCAGAGCGGAATTGTATACTTTTTCTTAATGCATAATCTTTTGACTTAAAAATTCCTTTTGACTTAAAAATTCACCGTAGTTTGATATTTGACAAAGGGACTTTTTTTTTTCAACATTAACAGGACAGTGTGATAGGGCAGTGAAGGCAGTGAAGGAAGGTGGCAGTGTTGTAGTTCTAACTGGAGCAGTCACACCACCTGGCTTCAGGTTTGTTGTGACTTCCAATGGAGAAATGTTGAAGAAACTAAATCCGTTCCTGGAGAGCGGTAAAGTGAAGCCACTGATCGATCCCAAGGGACCGTTTCCTTTCGACCAGGTTAAGGAAGCGTTCTCTTATTTGGAAACAGGACGAGCTACTGGGAAGGTTGTTATATATCCAATTCCATGATCACTATGTAAGAATACTAGTCTTATTATCTTGGCTGAATATGAGAGCAAACAGGAACTTTGTATATTTTGACGACTAATATGTGGGTATTCTTGTAGACTATTGTTGAGCTTATTTTTGCAACTTCTTCAAAATTATATCCTCAACTATCGAAAATTGCTGTGTGATAATGGATTTCCGTTTACTTCAAGATGTCGCATTTGAGTCGATTAAGATAGAATTGTGATTATGGGAATATTCGAAAGAGAATTTGAACTTCTTGGTTTGTCAATATACGAGGTATCCATTGTGCATCCACATATTTAGACGTGGTTATAACTATTTGTGTGCTTGCCTAATTGCCACGGTCTGCTGTAGCTAAGTCAAAAGCCCCTCAAGTCTATCATTCTATCAAGACAACTAGAGTTCAACGAACCTCTATCATCTTTTATCTGGGAAAAATGGTGAAAAAAGGGG